TCTTGTTTTAGCCTCCCAAGTAGCTGGGATTACAGGCATGTGCCATCACACCTGGATAACTTTTTGTATTTTTAGTAGAGACAGGGTTTCATCATGTTGGCCAGGCTGGTCTCAAACACCTGACCTCAAAGGATCTGCCTGCCTCAGCCTCCCAAAGTGCGGGATTACAGGCATGAGCCACCTCACCTGGCCGACAGACAGGATTTTAAGCTTGAACTCAAGAAGCAGCCCAGACTGGGGATCTCCACTGGGAAGTCATCCTCAAGGACGTGTGGCTGAAGCTACAGACAAAGGGAAGGTTATCCAGGAAGAGTGAGGGTGTGGGATGGGAAGAGAGAGGGCCTGCAACACAGTCCTAAGGAACACTAGCATTTTTTTTTTTGAGACAGAGTCATGTTGAGAAATATTGAGTTTATGGATATTGATGAATGCTGAGTGTATGATAGAGTATATTGTTTGTTAGGAAAAACGATGGCAAGGAAAACCTAGCTGACCCCCTCCCCAAGTGGAAAACCACTTGAGGCATTCCAAAGTGGCAGGACAATGTATAAATATCATCCACCAGTCAAAACAATTCTTTGAGATAGCTGACCCTGCCCCCATGGCTCCTTCATGGAGAATACCTTTTAGTTTGTCTGTAGTCAGTGGTAAGCTGCCTACTTGGTATATTTTTGAGTTATGAGAAAATACAGAACACCTGTTTGTTAATAACGATCACCTGTTCAGGGAGAATAAATGCATGGGTCAGTGTGTACTCAGGGCCTTCAGCCTGGAATGCTGTCTGCTCCTGAGGCTCTCAGTTCGGAAGGCTGTTTGCCCCCCGGATAGACCCACTTTGTTGTTCTATAGGGGTGTCTGCCTCTCATTACCTTCAGTGCCACCTGGGTGGGGGGTCTCCTGGCTGAGCTGGTACTTGGTAGAGTCATCCAGGCTGGAGTGCAGTGGCACAATCTTGGCTCATTGAAATCTCCACCTCCCAGGTTCAAGCAATTTTCCTGCCTCTGCCTCCCAAGTAGCTGGGATTACAGGCACCCACCACCATGCCCAGCTAATTTTTGTAGTTTTAATAGAGATGGGGTTTCATCATGTTGGCCAGGCTGGTTTTGAACTCCTGACCTCAAAGGATCCGCCTGCCCAGGCCTCCCAAAGTGCTGGGACTACAGGTGTGAGCCACAGCACCTGGCCCAGTTAGCGCTTTCTGTGAGTGCAATTTCTCCAAAGTTTTCAACTTGAAATAATCAATATAACCATCCCATGTATTAGGGGATGGCAGGTCCTTCACTCCTTCAGCTCCTTTGGTTGACCAGTACCTCAACTTGGCCGTATCCACAGGTGGGGGAGGTCAGGATATGTCACCCCTATTCACTAGGGCTGTGGGGCACATGGTCTCTGAGATGGAACAAGGCGGGCCAGGCTGATGGATTGCTCACAGTGTCTGCTGGAGGTTCCTTTTGCTGCTCAGGGCCACAGCGTGGCTGGAGGAAGAGGCCCCACCTAGGAAGTTCCGCAGGGGCTTACAGTCTTCCCAGAGCGAGAAGCACAATCTCCAACAGAAAGAGTGAACAAGAGACAGAACCCACTGACCCCAAACATGGCTTTATAGAAAGATGATCTTCTCCGAGGGGCAGGAAAAGGTGCAGGTTAATTTATATGGACAAGGCTCTCGGCGACATGCACAGGAGCTGGGCATCTGGAACCCGTACAGGTGGTACTGCAACCCCAGGGCTGCCCCCTCCAGGACCAGCTGAGCTCCCAGCTGAGCCACATAAGCCCAGAGCAGCCTGAGGCTTCCATCCCCTGGGGCATCTCTGCTGCTCTCCCCTCCCTGGATCAGGGCCTCCTCGTCTCCTTTGCCCTTTCCTGATTCTTCTCTGTGCCAAATCATGTGATACAGGGTGAAACCCACGTAAAGGGCGCTGGGTACAGCCACCAAGTTGACCTGGAAGACCCAGAAACGCAGCGGGGAGAAGGGGTGAAAGGTATCGAAGCAGGCAGCCTTGCAGCCCGGCTGCTGGGTGTAACACACAAATCCACTTTGCTCATCGCCATAGACTCCAGGCCCACTGGCAGCCAGCAGCACAAGGGGGAATCCCAGGAGCACGGGAAGCAGGAGGCGCCCCACGGGGTGGAGTGTCGGCTCTCCTCTGCCAGCAACTGCCTCAGGTACCTGCCACATATCCTGTTAGGGAGCTTAAAAAAATATTATTACACGTTATTGATCCATATTTTTTTAAGAACTCTGTTGCCCAGGCTGGAGTGCAATGGTGTGATCATAGCTCATGCATTCCATTTACTGTGCACTTTATTTCTATTATTATTACATTGTAATATATAATGAAATGATTCCACAACTCGCCATGGTGTAGAATCGGTGGGAGCCCTGAGCTTGTTTTCCTGCAACTAGACAGTCCTGTCTGGGGGTAATGGGAGACAGTGACAGATCATCAGGCATTAGATTCTCATAAGGAGTGCGCAGTCTAGATCCCTCGCATGTGCAGTTCACAATAGGGTTTGTGCTCCTATGAGAATCTAATGCCTGAGCAGGACTTTCTGATGAAAAAAAAAAAAAAAAAAGAGAGACTCTAATGCCGCTGCTGATCTGACAGGAGGCGGAGCTCAGGCGATCATGTGAGCCACGAGGAGTGGCTGTAAATCCTGATGAAGCTTCCATCCTGCAAATCACCTTTTGATATGTGGTTTGGCTCCTAACAGGCCATGAACAGGTACCAGGGGTTGGGGACCTCTGCCTTACACTATCTTGTCTCTCTCTGGAGGACTCCACTGGAGATAGTTCCCAGGTAGGCTGGAGGAATGACACGCACCGAATCAGGCAAAATACATCAATCAGGTATAGACGGGTATATGTATGTTTAGGTCCTCTTCAATTTCTCTGAGCTTTGCTTTTTAACCTTCTTTCCCAGTAGAATTCACTGTTCCAGCCATGGGGTTCTTCTTGGTCAGCAGAAATATTTAGTGTTTTCTATTGCCTTTGCTTATGTGTTTATTGATTCGTCCAGAAATTATGTATTATTTACCTATTGTATAAATATGTATATTTATTTATTATTTTATTTTTTGAGACGGAGTCTTGCTCTGTCTCCCAGGCTGGAGTGCAGTGGCCCGATCTTAGCTTACTGCAACCTCCACCTCCCAGGTTGACGCAATTCTCCTTCCTCAGTCTCCTGAGTAGCTGGGATTACAGGCTTGTGCCGCCACACCTGGCTAATTTTTTGTATTTTTAGTAGAGACAGGGTTTCACCATCTTGACCAGGATGGTCTTGAATTCCTGACCTTGTGATCCACCGCCTCAGCCTCCCAGAGTGCTTGGATTATAGGTGTGATCCACCACACCTGGCCTATTTGTTTATTTTTTTTTTTGAGACAGGGTCTTGCTCTGTTGCTTAGGCTGGAGTGCAGTGGTGCAATCATAGCTTACAGCAGCCTTGACCTCCCATGCTCAAGTGATCTTCCTGCCTCAGCCTCCCTAGTAGCTGGGACTACAAGTGTGTGCCACCATGCCCAGATAATTTTTTACTTTTTAAAATGTAGAGTTGGGGTCTTGCTATGTTGCCAAGACTGATCTAGAACTCCTGGGCTCAAGCAGTCCTCCCACTTTGGTGTCCCCAAGAGTTGAGATTACAGGCGTAAGCCACCATGCCTGGACCTATTGTATGTTTGATTCTCTGGTAGGCACTGGAGACTCAAAAGAACAAGATAGGTAATATCCTATTCTGCATGGAAATCTTTTGACCTCGTCTTCGCAAGCTGTCTTAGGCCTCCACGTCTCTCTGAAATCTAAATCGCTCCAGGAAGTTTTCTCTGAGTATCTCAGTAGCCCTGTGTCCCTCTCCTCCTGCTCCACACCTGGCCAGGACTTGAGGCCTGCAGTTTCTGTCCCCTCCTTTATCATCATCCATGTCCCTATTATAGGTAAGGTCACATCTCCTATTCCAATTTTCCTTAGCCCTAGTCTATTCATGTGGATTTTGGTTTCTTCATTGATGTGAAATGTTTATCTTTCACCTTTTATTTGCTCAAAGTGTCCCGATATTTTCACATATCATATGCTATATTTTTTCCTTTTGACTATTTGCATTTTCTTTTCCGAAGTTGGCTGCTGTTCAAATAGACTTTTTTTTCCCCAGAAGAGGAAAAGGTGGATTTCATATAGGCTTGAAAAAAATAATTTCTCAGCTTTGATTTTCAAATTGGAGTCAAAGTGTTAAAAAATCGTAGCCTTCAAATGTAGGCTTTCATGAAAGATAAGATAATTAACCCAGATTTCCGAAGGCTGGGAAGGATTTCCGTAAGGAGCCTAGCTTGGAGGACGGACTTGGAAATAACCCAGAGTGGGAGGCTGAGGACAGGACGTAAAGGAAGTTCTTGTCCCACAGAAAGGAAAAGCACAGACACAGGCAGGCGAGGCTTCATGAGAAGGTCAAGGTGAGAGCTCTACTGTGTCTTTTGGGGTTGACACCTGTGCATGGCGGTCGGTGACTCCTTTGAGGAAACTCACTCCCAGGGACTCAGAGGGAGTCTGAGAACCCCAGGGCCAATTCCTGCATCCTTGCGCTGTGCCCTGGAGAGCTGAGGGCTCTCAAATAAGCTCTGGCTGTGTGGGCCAAGGCCAATGTGGAGATGTGGAGTGGCTGGAGTGGAGGGCCGCTTCACCCAGGGTGCCAAGGAGTGTGGGGAAACTGAGGCACAGAAGAGGCCTGGGTTTGTGTGAAAAAGCTTGCAGAGTTCTAGCACCTTACAGCCAGAGGGGCCATGGCCACACCTGTGGACATCAGCAGGGGACACCTGAACAATCCCTAAGGGACAGCAGGTCCAGGCCATGTTTGAAATTGCCCAAGTCAAGGTGCCCAGGAACCATGGCCTCCAGGGGAAACCAAGAATTTCAGATGAATCCAGTGCTTGGGAGCAGAACCAATGAGAAAATCCAGTCATATTTCTACATCATTTTATAGTTAATACCATTCTCTGTCATGCCAGACAAAAAGAGATGATTATTTATTTGGTTCTACAGATTAGACAATGGGGGGCAGTTTAAGGTGAGATGATTTTGGGGTCCGAGGCAGCTCACGGCAGGCATCCCAGTCTTCAGTCTCCAAATCCACCTCCTGCCTGTCCGCCCACATGGCTGCTTGGGCCTTGTGGATCCATTGACGGTGATTCTAAGGTTCAGCTCCCATGTCAGGCAGGAAGGGCGGCTACTGGGGCTGAGACCCCCACATTGCCTCCAGCCCTTGCTTCCTAACTGGCATCCCCAGGCACCACCAGGGGCTGGGCCAGGCTGCTGTGCTGCACGTAGCAGGAGTAGGGGGCTGTGTCTTTCGGGGACACGTGCACCACCACCCAGGTCAGGTAAGTGCCATTTCCACTGCAAAGAACATCTCCCCCTGAGTCAGGCTCCTGCACCTTGCCGGCCCGAGTCCAGTGCACATCAATTTCCCGTGGGTAGAAGTCGTAGGCCAGGCACTTGAGTTTCTTGTTTTCTCCTGGAGCCTGGTGGCTGGTGACCACCACGGAGGGAGGAGCTGTGGAGGGATAGAGCGTGACACTGAAGGCTTGAGGTCGACTTCTCAGGGCCCAGGTCTCTTCCCACCCCAACCCCTGGATGTCAGCGATCAGCAGCACCTGCCACCCAGGACACTTTCCAGAAGATCAGGGAAGGCTGACGCTTTCCCAGGTCCTTCTCTGTTGGATCATGGAATATCCTGGCTCCGCTCTCGCCCAGTCCCCACCCCACCCACGCATTGACTCTTTCAGCAACAAGCTGTGAATGCTCCGTGCACTTCCCCATGTTTCCCATATCTCAGTGGGCCTTGGAGTTCTCCTCTCCCCCAGTCTCAGCCCAGCTGCTTGATTCAGCCCATGGCTCTATCCAGCAACCTCTTCCCTGCAGCACTGCACACTCCTGAGTCTCACCACGTCTCCAATCCAAGTCTCAGCCTGCAGCCATCAATTCCTCTCACACTGGCTCGGTCTCATCGTTCCAGAGCTGACACTTTACACACCTCCCTTCTCTCCACCACCCAGATGGGAGACGTCATTGTAGAGAGATACAACTACGGGATTGGGAACCTGAAGTCTGGAATTGGAGTCCTAGCTCTGCCTCTTTTTTTTTTTTTTTTTTTTTTTTTTGAGACTGAGTCTCGCTCTATTGCCCAGGCTGGTGTGCCTTGGCACCATCTTGGCTCACTACAACCTCGTCCTCCCGGGTTCAAGCGATTCTCATGCCACAGTCTCCTGAGTAGCTGGGATTACCCGTGTCTGCCACCACACCTGGGCTAATTTTTGTATTTTTGGTAGAGACAGGGTTTCATCATGTTGGCCAGGCTGGTCTTGAACTTCTGACCTCAAGTGATTCATCCACTTCAGCCTCCCAAAGTGTTGGGATTACAGGCGTGAGCCTCCACGCCAGCTCCACCTCTACCTCTTACAGGCAGTGTTACTCTTACCTCTCTCACCTCCAGGTCCTCATCTGTCAATGGGTGATATTTAGGGAAGCCCACCAGTGAATCAGTTGCTTTCCCGGCCCATTGTGCCTGAAGTTTGATGTCCTTCCAGGAAAGGAAGGAATCCCAGAAGGTGAAAACTGGGGGTTTACGTCACTTATATGGATGGAGGAGACTGGCCTAAGATGCTCTCTGAGCTCCTAGCCTGAGATCATCTTGGTTTTTCCTGGCTCAGTACTGGGGAGCAGGGAGCAGTGAGTACCTTGCCGGTCCAGGATACTTTTGCTGTAGTTCAGGTATTTCCGCAGAGCTGCAGGGCACTCCCCCTCCAGGTAAGCCTTGGCCCGCAGCACGTAGACTGGTTCTGCCTCCCACTTCTGCTTGGTGTTCTGGGCTTCCGGGACCAAGGGGACCCAGGCTGGGATTTCTTTGTTGAATTCAATGTAGTCCTTTCCATCGTAGGCATTCTTCCAGAATGCTTCAGTGCTTCTGTTATTCTGGATCTTACAACCAAATCTTTCCTGCAAGGTGTGAATCCCTGAAACCTCCCCCGACCCCACAGGAAGCCAGTCAGCCTAATGCCAATGCCGTCTGAATAACTCTTAGTCCTGAACTCTTCACAGCTCAATAGGAGGAAAGGCTTTTGCAATCTAACCATGCAGTTCCTTAATCATGGCATATGATTTTATCTGGACATACAGTTGACAGACAGTGGCAAAGTCTTTATGGTTTGGCATTTCAGGCCAATTTGAGATGAAATATACATTCCTCCCAGCCAGGGAAATTAAGAGAGCTAGAGGCTGTGGGCAGATTTCTCTTCTGCAGCATCTCTTTTTATTAGTTTAAACTTACCCGGAGTGTTTAGGAACCATACCAAAGTACATTTCCGAATTGGATAGGAGTGGTTTGTGATTTCTCTCAGCTCTAGGTGGAGTTCATATCATCACCTAAATCAACCTAATCTGATCACTTCTTTTTTGAGAGAAAGACTCTCACTGTTGCCCAGGTTGGAGTGCAGTGGCGCAATCTTGGCTCACTGCAACCTCTATCTCCTGGGTTCAAGTGATTCTCCTCCCTCAGCCTCCCAAGTAGCTGGAATTCCAGGTGTGTGCTACCATACCTGACTAATTTTTGTATTTTGTTTTTTTTTGAGATAGAGTCTCGCTCTGTAGCCCAAGCTGGAGTGCAGTGGGGTGATCTCAGCTCACTGCAACCTCTGCCTCCTGGGTCCTGGTTCAAGCAATTCTCCTACCTCAGCCTCCCAAGTAGCTGGGATTACAGGCATGAGCCACCATGCCCGGCTAATTTTTGTATTTTTTTAGTAGAGACGGGGTTTCATTATGTTGGCCAGTCTGGTCTTGAACTCCTGACCTCGTGATCCACCTGCCTCGGCCTCCCAAAGTGCTGGGATGACGGGCGTGAGCCACCCTGCCCAGCTGATCACTTCTTTCTTCCTATCTGGTGTTGATATCTTTATCCCAAATCTCTGAAGTCCCAACCTTCCTGCCCATTAGCCACAACTCTCAGAAATGGACCTCCTTAGGGCGGGGAATGCAGCCTCTTCATCCTGATGATAAAAGAGGTGTTTACCCAGCACTGGTTGGTGCTGTTGGCATAGACTCTGGCAGCTCTCAAGCTGTCTGTGCTCAAGTCCCAGGTGTCTCCCGCTCCCAACTGGTGTGCTGTGTGAACTGGGCCAATCACCTCTCTGAGGCTCTATGTCCTCTCCCCTGAAACAGCAATGCCAAGAGCACGGTTTCAGCGGGTTATTCTTAGCACTAATATGTCCATAGATGGGCTTGGCACAAAATAAGTGCTCAGTAAATGTCAGCTGCTATTATTTTCTAATACCCTGTGTTCATTTCTTCATCCTCCCTCCTCGTAATTATGCACTTTGCCATTTCTATTCCTGTCCGTCAAAGCTTCTCCCAGTGTCTTTCCCGATCACCTGTGCCCCCGCCTCTCCTATTGCTGACACACAGCCTGGGCCATTTTCCTTCCCAAGACCTCTCATCCCACACCCTTCAAACGTCTGCCTGTTACTTTCTTGCTCTTTTTGGAAACATTCAGTTCCCATGTAGCATCTTCGGCATTTTTGTACTTAGAAGCCCAGGTTTTTTTTTTTTTTTTTTT